CAATTGTATGTAGAAATAATAAATATTAAACTGCAGACGACACATAAGCAGGGTTGGGAAATAAATGACAATGTGGAATTTACAGTAAAAAGTCTAAAATGTGACATCTTTTTCGGGTGTGTTTTTTTAAAGGTGTTTACACACCTCACTAGTTTTCGGTATAGAAATAAAATGGAAACGTTTTTTTTGGCGGAGAATTTAAAATTATATTGTAATATTTCTGAAAATGAAAAACAAATTAATTTTAAGTTTATTACATATTGCAATTACAATATTATACTTTATTCATCATTTTGGACTTTTTACTGTGAATTTCATATAGTAATTTACATTTCCAACTCTGCTTATGTGTCGTCTGCAGTTTAATATTTCTACATACCATTGTTGTTTCAATTACATAATTATTTTATGATTGATTGTGGTTTCAATAATCATTTGGATAAAAAAAATAATTTTAAATATTCAAAAATATGCGAATTGTAAACTTACCTTTAATATGTTTTGACAAGGTTGGTTGCCACTGTCCCCACTCGCCATTTGTCATAATTATCGTCAACTACCTCACCCTGCTCTAGTGAATATTTAGTAACTTTATGGTAACTTTTAATTTTAACAATAAAGTCACTAAATTTTCACTAGAGCATGGTGCGGTAGTTGACGAGAATTATGAGAAATGGCGAATGTGGAACAATAGCAACCAACTTCAACCATCAACATAGGTTATTGTATTCTACATTATATTTAAAAAAAATTACTAGATCTAGCCAATTGGATAGCAAAAACCAAAAAGCCACAAACAGAAGAAAAAGAAGAATTTAAAAAATTAAGATCTCAAATTGATGTGAAAATAAACAAAGAGGATTAACTCTCAATACATTCCTTTGATGCTTACGCCTTTATTACATTCAAAATATTCAATAAAAATTGATTTTGATTTTACATAATTAAAAAGGAACTTTTAATAAAAATAATACTTTCTCAAACATAACCTAAAATTTGCTTGCTTCTAGATACCTTTCTTCAGAGCGCATCACCAATATTTAATAAACAAATTTTTAAATTTAATTTAAATTATCACAAAAATTTATTTCTGTCTGATATATGTAATATAAAAGCTTTTCTTTATCATTTTGTGTATTTATTATTTTTGTCCTCGTTTTCAAAATTTAGTATATTTGTGTTCTAAATTTATGACCCTAATTTTGCACAAACATTATTTCTCTTGAAATTTTCTTTATTTCTCCTAAAGAAACAATCAATGTACATATGTTATCTCACTGCATAAACGAAGGATTAAGAAATTGAACAAGAAACATTTTTTTTTTCAAAAATGTGATCGCGCAGAGATAAGAGAAAAATTACCTTCATTTACGTTGGAAGTAAAATTAAATTGAAAGTATAAAAACCGAGAGTGAAATGTCTCTTTAACCGGAATATATATTGTCAATCTTCATTTCATTTTCATAAAGTGATACATAACTGACAAAATTTACAACATCCTTGAGACTTGTGTGCGCATATTTTAAATGATTGAAGACTTTCTGATGACTAAATTGACAATGTTGAATGATTAATCACTTTTTTTTTTAATATTGGATGAATTTTAATTTTAACACTTTAATGCTTGTAAAAGTCAAATTCTTATTTTATGTAAAAAAAAAGTTTATTTTAAAAATAAAAAATAGTTTAAATTAATTATATAAATATTTTTTATAAATTGAAAATAGTTTTTAATATTAAAAATATGGATTTTCTAAATGGAGTTCTTGAAGATCGTGAAGAAACTACAGGACTTTTATTGAAACTTCTTTCTAATCAACTTTCCAGAAAGGTGATTCTACTATATTAATATTTTGCTCTCTAAATCTGAATTAGTAAAAATGTTTACTAATTTGAATTAGTGACTCACTTTTTGCTTTAGAATTAGTTAAATTTTACTAATTGTTAGTAAAAGTTAATAATAATTAGTAAAATTTTACTAATTCAGAAGCAAAAAGTGAGTCACTAATTCAAATTAGTAAACATTTTTACTAATTCAGATTTAGAGAGTGTTTTTCATTTATAAAGAATAACATTTTTTAAAAATTTTCCTTTTTTAATTTTGAATTGCAAAATTTTTTTAACATAATTTTTATTTTACCGAAAAGTTATATTTTCTAAATTTTATTTGTTATAATTATCGATAAATGATGACAAATGAAATTTAGAAAAAAGATATTTATGTAACATAACTTTTCTATAAAATAAAAATTAGGAATGTCAGAAAGTAATTCGATTTTAAAGTTAGAATAAACTGATAAATTCGAATAAATAAACATTGTGCTTTAGAAATTTGAAAATTAGGTTAATTGTTCTAATTACGGCGCGGTTCAAGTTAAAACACCTTTGAAATAGAAAATTCGACATTTCTATTGTACTCTCTAAATCTGAATTAGTAAAAAAGTTTACTAATTTGAATTAGTGACTCAATTTTTGCTTCTGAATTAGTAAAATTTTACCAATTATTAGTAACTTTTACTGACAATTAGTAAAATTTAACTAATTCAGAAGCAAAAAGTGAGTCACTAATTCAAATTAGTAAACATTTTTACTAATTCAGATTTAGAGAGTATAAAGTCAATTTAAGACTTATTAAACTAAAAGCTTATGTTATTCAGATATTAAAATATTTTAAATTTATAAAAATCGATTATTTAAACAAACTCTCTAAATCTGAATTAGTAAAAATGTTTACTAATTTGAATTAGTGACTCACTTTTTGCTTCTGAATTAGTAAAATTTTACTGATTATTAGTAACTTTTACTAACAATTAGTAAAATTTTACTAATTTAGAAACAAAAAGTGAGTTACTAATTCAAATTAGTAAAAATTTTTATTTTCCAATGGAAATCTTAAAAATGTTTCAATTACGGCGAGGGAAAAAATTTGATCTCAAATAAATAAATTAATAATTGTTTAAATGTGCATATTTATTAGTAATTGTATTAAAAAAAAATTAAAATCATTTTTTAAAATCATTTTGCAACAATTATATTAAATATAAATAATATAATAGTTATTTTTTTATGAAAGCGCCGTAATTGGCGCACTCGCTGCGTAATTAATGTACTTACCCTATATCAAATAATAAGAAGATCGATAAAATAGAAATTTTAGAAATAATCATGCACCCAAATATAGTTTATAAATAAATTGCAGTTATGCGTCTTAAAATATATAATGTCAAGTGAAAATAAATAGTAAATCAATGTATACACGTGTGCTTGTTGCCCTCAAAGGTTAACTTCAGGTGAATGCTCTTGTGTGTAAATTACGCTCGTTCCATTGCAATGCATATTATAATGCTTGTGCTTTTTTCTCATTTCTATATGTATATATATATGTGTTCATACATTATATAGGTTTCATTGATATAGCAGTGACGTCCAAAACCGCAAAGATTACGTCAAGCCAACACCTTTAGCCATATGCCGAAAACAAAATCTACGCTTTCAATCTGAATCCTTAATGGATTTTCGAATGAGTCTTTTTTTACCTCGAGGATGAGAAATAAATTTCCCAAATTAATCTTGCTGGTGGTCAAAAAGTTGAATGGAGAGAAAGAGATCGGATCTGAGATTTCTTTATCGTGATTTACATTAAATATATAATTATATATCCGCGTTTTAAAATATATAAAAAAAATAAAAACCGAATAAAAGATAACGAAAATAAATCAGAAAAAAATATCGATACTTTTGTTATCGTCGGTATTTTACTTTGTTTTGTTCTAATATTCTATAAAATTAATAAATATATATAATTTTTTTTAAATAAACGGTTGGTTTCCATTTTCACCACTCGTTATTTGTCATAAATCTATTCAACTGCCGCACTCTGCTCTAGTGAAAATTTAGTAACTTTATAGTAACTTTTAATTTTAACAATAAAGAGAATTTTCAATTCTGTTTTGCCAAATTCTGTTTATAATCAAAATTCATATGACATATTGAAATATTTTATTTCAATAAATTATCAAACTAACACATCAGAAAATTGTTTAAATTCCTCAAAATTCCCTAGGTATCACTAGGTATGGTTGGTTTTCATTGTCCCCGCTTGCCATTTGTCATAATTCTTGTCAACTTCCTCACCCTGCTCTAATGAAAATTTAGTGACTTCATTGTTAAAATTAAAAATTACTATAAAGTTACAAAATTTTCACTAGAGCAGGGTGCGGTAGTTGACGAGAATTATGAAAAATGTCGAGTGGAGACAATGGAAACCAACCATGTATGTAGCAGATAGTAAAAACATAACGTTAAGGTGCTTCTACAATAAGTTTGCAATCTATATTTGTTTTGCACTTACTTTGCACCTTTATTACTTAATTTTCAGTACATTTCATTTTCAGAGCAAATGCAAAGCAAGTACAATTTGTATGTTATTGTAAAAGCACCTTTATCTTTCAAGAAAATTTTTTTTAAATTGACGCATCTCCCTTTCCTTTTCTCTCTCATGTAAAAGCTTAAGATTTACGATTAGAGATTTCATTCTTTTTCATACAAAAAAGAAAACAAACATTGTTTAATAAATTGTGAATTAACTATTTCGAATCACCACATTTTTCTTGTGCGATATTAAAGCTTGAAAAATAAGGAAAATTTTGAAGTTTAAACCAATTTATTTGGAGGTTCAGAAAAAAAGTGAATTTTTTTTGTTATTGTATCTTTTAAATAAACAATTGTTCTTATTTGAAATGTGATTATTTTTGACCCTTATTAATAAATATTATAAAATAATTTAATTTGGAAAGGTTACTTCGAAAAGTGATTAACAAAAAAACTCATGGAATGGCACATAAATAATTAAATTCTATTAATTAGAATCATTTTAGAAAATGATATTATTAACTTTTGATAAAATCAATATATAACCGCGCTTATTTATTAAATATCAAATATTCTTCTTTCGAGATATATATTTTAAATAATAAATTATTCCATTCATTGAATTTCAGCCATCAAAAGAACAATCACACGTGGGTGGTGAGACCATATCACCAAAGGCCCAACGTCGGCAGAATAAGGATGGCTCGGGTACTAATTCAGCGGTCAATGCTTTCCGTCAATGGAGGCGGAGTGCTTCCGCTGGAAATAAATCTAATGGAGGTGGATCAAATTCATCGGCCCTCGCACGAATGTCGAACGATTCAACTACCGCTCAAAAATTAGAGCAATTTCCTCTTGCTCTTTCCGATGCTACTATGCCGGATGAAGACCTTTCCCTCAAGTTTCTTGCACTGGTAACTAATTTTTCATATCCCCCCCCCCATTATCCCATATCTTATATCAGGCATTTTACGTGTAATGATAAAAAATTGATTTCTCGAAAACAAGTGAAACTTGGGCAAATTGTTGTCCTACCTGATAGTAAAATATCCCTAAAAAAATTTTTGACTTTTTTGAAATTTTGGGGGAGATAGAGGGGGAACAATTTTATCAGTTTTCCCTGAAACCGTCTACTATTTGAATTTTTTCTGTCTATAAATGCAATAAAAAAAATTTTGGCAGGTATGTTTTTCGAAGGTTTTTTCATACTCTTTCCAATGGTGAATTTCGTTTTTTAAAATTTTTGAATTTTGACCTTGATTTTCTATAATTTAACATAAATCTGCTATTTTCACTAAAATCGATGTGATTTTTTTTAAATAAATAATTGCAAACGAAAACTGATCAATATAGCTGAGCTTTTTAGAAGGCAGATGGCAGCACTCATCTATTTTCTTTCTTTAAATTTTTTCTGAATCGTTTTTATAAAAAGCAAAACTGCCATCTACCTTCTAAAAAGCTCGGCTATATTGATTTTATCGACAAATTTTTTCTCATGCATTTTAGGTTATGTTTATAAGCTGTGACTTTTTAATTATCGAATTGCACATTGTCTTTGATTTTCTGTTATTTTCATTTTCAAATTAAATAGTGAAATGGTCTCCGTAATTGTACTATTACCAAAATATCTGAAAAAAATTCGTTTAATTTTGAGTCGATTCAATTCGGGGCAACAATTTCCTCAAGTTTCACTTTTTTCGAGAAATCAATTTTTAAACTCAGGACATTACACGTAAAATGCCTCATATATGTTAAAAATTACATCAATCTTAAATTCCAAGGGAAAAAAAAAATTTATTTGATTCAATACAGTTGGAATAAAGAGGGTTGAATATGTAAACAAAAACTTGAACAGGAAAAGATTAATAAAATAGAATGATGAAAAAGAAAGAAATGTTTACAAGTACCACATTATATATTATATCAAGTCATGTTCTATCATTTCTATATATCGCATTGAGAAATAAGTCATTCAATAAATGAATCATGAACTCTGTTCTTTTTACAAATCTATTGTTTCTTTTTTTTGGACACATTTTACAAACGTTAAGGAAAAATAAATTTAATAATATATGGAAAAATGTTTTTTAAATATAGGTATTAAAAAAAATGAGAAAATAATCATGGAAATGAAGATAAAGATTTAATGCATTATTAATATTATATAATTTAAAATTACTTTTCTGTCAAAAAGGACAAAAATTTTTTATTTCAAATTAATAGAATCACATGAATTATCAAATATATGTTGTGTTTTATAAAAATGTGAAAATAATTGTCTTTTTCTACCTCAACCTAGGATAATTTTTTTTTTTGCGATAAAACATTAAATAACAAAAACAAGCATAAATCTGACAAAAGAAAAAGTCATTCTCTTAAAAAAAAAAAAAATAGATTTGTGTCACACTTGTATCCTTGGCAACAAAAGATAACGGCAATCAGTATGACGTACATGCTTTAAGATAGGTAATTTCCAAATGGAATTGATATAACTAATTTTAGACACATTTAAATTAAAGTACTGCAACAATATTAACAAAGCAAATGGGAAAAATATGGTATATATAGAAAAACGTGTGAAAATAAAAATTTAATTCTTCTCTCTCTCTATATATATATGAAAAAATTATTAAACTATCATTGAAAAAAAAAATTATGATGGGCTGATACGAAAATTATATTTAAAAATAACTGCAAATTTTATTTTCATGGTAAAAAACATAAAAATACCCAAAATTTATAGTTTTTTTTTTTTTTTTGTTGGGGGATGAGCAAAAAGTTTTGAACGTTCAAATGAAGAAATTTTTTTAACTTCTTTAAATACGAATTTTATTACAAAATATTGTTTCAAATATCTAAAAAGAAGTTATTAATTTAATATTTCTTTAATTTACTGTTTTATTTTACATTGACATTATAATTTTTAATAATTTATAGATTGAAAAAAATATTTTGTTCATTTGAACGTTCAGAACTTTTGGCTCATGTTGGGGTTAAAAAAAAAACAAAAATTACACGATTTGTCGGAAAATATTTTTTCTCAGAGGAAACGAAAATCAATCGTGAATTATGTAGTTAGGAATTTTTTGTCAAATGGGTAATTTTAATTTTAAAAATAAATTTTCACTAAATTTATTTTTTCTCCCTAAATTTAATAATCTCCTTATTGAGAAATTTCTACAAGTTTTTTTTTATTTTTTATCTTCTCAAATTTTCATTTTTTTTTTCTGAAGTCCTAAAATTATCTTTTCCTCTCTTTCAATGTCTTATTTTTTTAATTTTCTACAAAGTTCATAACATTCAAATAATGAAATAAACGATTTTTTTTTTACTTTAATTTCAATATTTGATTATTAGTTTTTGTATCAAAAAATAAATTCATAATTTAATAAATGTCTAATATATTTATTTATTTTTCATTGCAGTAGTAATTTTAAAACATTTATTGACTAAAAAAATAATTTCGTTTATTTGAACGTTCAGAATTTTAGGCACATATTTTTTAAGACTTTCTATTTCTTTAAATTGTTTATTCTCATTTTATTTTATATATAACATTTTTGTTTTTTTTAAACATTTTCTCCCTTGAATTCTTTTTTATTTTTAATTACTAAAATTTATAATATTTTTTTTTTTGAAACTAGCAACAAAATTGACAAATTTTCCCAATTTTCCCCATTTACTTTGTAAATTTTAATTTAAAATTTTTAAATAAATAAATAAAAGTTTATTACAAGATTTTTTTTTTAAATTAATAATAATTCAGTCTTTAGTAGAATATGTATTGAAGCGAATGATATTTCCAATGATATTGATTTTTTTGAACCAAGGAAAAATATATTTTGCTCGAGATTACGTGGCTTGTTACTAAATAATAATGAATAATTTTATCATAGCACGCTTATTATTTGTTACTATACTCATGTATCTCAAGGGCTGTTGCCCGTATATGTTTGTTTAATAAAAAAAAATAAATAAAAATAATAATAATTTATTATTTTATTTGAAAAAGTTCAAAAATATATAAAACTTTCAATTATTGTCATCAATTTTTTGATTATTAATTATTAATTTTTAGTAAAATATTATTAGTAATATTTTTTTACTAAAGTTTTAGTGAAAAATAATTGAAAATTATCAGTAATTTTTACTAATTTAATAAATTAATTAACAAATTCTCACTAATTCACATTTAAAGAGTTTTGAAAATTCACAAATTTTTTTCTAACAAGTTTGAATTTTTCCATTAAAGGTCCTGTAATTAGAATGTATTTAAAAATAAGTCATTATTTAGTATAATTATTATTTAAAAATCAGTATTCATTTTAAATTTTTTTCCATATTATATATCCGACATTTTTATTATAAAAATATTTTAAAGCACATTTCACATTTTTCTTCATCAATTTTTTTTTCTATAGTACAAAATTTTTTTTTTCTGGTACAAACATTTTTTTTCATTTTTTTTCCTGTATGAACCATTTTTCTAACTGTGTTTTCGTTTCGTCATCTGTTAGCTTTTGTATTATTGAAAAAAAAATAAATAAATAAATCTATAATTTTTTCTCCTAATATTTTGAAAAAATTTAGCCAATAATACAATTTTTTTCTCTTCTTTTTTTATAGAACGCTTTGGATCTAACGGCACCGGCAAGTGACATTATTTTGAAAAATCGACTGAAATCATGGTTTCAATTGTCAGGTCATCCGGCGAGTTTTGCACCGGCTGGTCCTGGCACGGTGTGGAAAAGAAGAACTGGTGGTTCTGAAAATACTGAAAGAATCGTCTACGAGACATTAAGTAAAGACAATGAAATGAAAGAATTTATACCAAGGTATTATCGTGAAGTTGAATATAAAAATGACACTTTCATTGAATTGCAAGACCTTTTATTTGGATTTAATGATCCACACGTGATGGATATAAAAATTGGTACAAGAACATTTTTAGAATCTGAAGTGTCAAATAAAAATGCACGCGCTGATCTTTATGAGAAAATGATATCTGTCGATTCAAATGCGCCTACCGAGCAAGAACATAAACAACGTGCAGTCACTAAACTTCGTTACATGCAATTTCGTGAGCAACAAAGTTCAACTTGCAGTCATGGATTTCGTATTGAGGCAATGAAATTGCCTGGATCGCCGCCTATTAAAAAATTACAAAAAGTAAAATCACATCAAGAAGTTTTGGAAACGTTAAAACATTTTTTGGGAAAAAGTCTAAATGTTAAGGAAAAATTGCTTGAACGTTTAAAAAATTTGAGATCAAGAGTTGAAAGATCCATGTACTTTCAAACACACGAGGTAATCATTTTTATTTTATACTGTATAATTAATTTTTCAATTTAAAAAATTAAAAAAAAAAAAGTTTCCAAAAAGAAGGTTTTTTTCATCAATGATTTATGTAAATCAAAAATAGTGTTTAATATTAAATCATTTAAACATTTTTTTTAAACTTTATATATTTAATATATTTATCACATTCAATTTTGAATATTCTAAATTTGAAAAATTCATCAATTTTTTATTTCAAAAAAAGTCATAATTTTCTTCAACCTCGATTTTAGGTTTATATATATATAGAAAATTCCTAATTCATAAATATTATATTACTATGTGAAATGAAAGGAAAAAAAATTACTTGAATCGCAGTTTATCTAAATAAATGATTTGTATTTTTCCATCAGGTGATTGGAAGCAGTATTTTTATGATTTACGACAATGACAAAGTAGGCGTTTGGTTGATTGATTTTGCAAAAACTTACGAAGTTCCAAATGGTGAAAAATTAACGCACAGAGACACCTGGCAACAAGGAAATCATGAGGAAGGATTTCTCCTTGGAATTGATAACTTAATTTCGACAATTAAACAAGTCAATGCTTCTTTGTAAATACAAATTTTATAGACTGATGTATTTAAATTATTTTTCCTATATGTGTAATATATATAGTAATATTATCTTATATGTAATAATGTCAATGTTTTATATACACATATTTAAAAAAAACTCGTTTATTCATGTTAAAAGTTTAGAGCCGTTTTGTTTTTTGTAATTTCTCAATAATAATATTCCAATAAGTTATTCTACGTTCAATTTATTATGTACTTATCAATTAGCACTAAAATTATATATAGACTAAATATTTGAAAATGTATAAATTTTGTAATCATAATTTTTAAAATCTTATATAAAACATTTCTCTAAAAAATCACTTAAATTTATACGAGCATATTATGTGCACAATTTAGGAATCTCCGATTACCGTTTTTGAAAAATTCTTGACTTCCAGAAAAACAAATTCTCTGAAAACTTGTATATATATATATATATTTGTAATACTCATTGTCATTAATATTTAATTATTTTTATAAGTTAAGTGAAATAAATTTTTGTAAAAAAGTATTAAAAGTCTGTTTGTTTTAAAACTCCACAAAAAAATAAGGACATAAAAATTGAGTTATAAACTGAAATAATTTAGTAATAAAATAAAGTCATAAAAAAATATCTATTGGTGAGTAACGACGTAGAAAATATAGTCGTAAACATGTTCAGAAACAAAATTCGATTTTGCTATGGAAAATGATGTGGAAAAAAAAAACGTTTATGAATAATTTAAAAAAACCAACATATTGATGAAATAATAAAAGACAAAATGATAAGTATACTAATAAGTAATAAATTATTATAATAAACAAAGTTTAAGAAATGTAATAATATTAAATAAATCATAAAATTAATCATACAATACAATTAAATAATTTATAGGACTATAAAAATGTAAAAAAATATGTTTTATAGTTATCAGAAACTTGAGATTTAAAATTTATTCAAAAATTACGCTTCTTTCAAAAAAAATTAATTTTTAATAACATAGTTAATATGTTAATATAAAACTTTCATCAAAAAAAAAATTGGTCCAGCGGATGCTGCGCTATGCTAGAAAACAGAATCGGAAAAGTTTCGAAAAAATAAATTTGCGAGATAATCGTTCCGGAATATTTCCAAAGTCTAAACCCAGGAGTTTCGTACAAAAATTGTATGGCGCATTTTTTGATCGGTCCAGCGGATGCTGAGCTACACTAAAAAATAAATTCGGAAATTTTTCGAAAAAATAAAATTTGCGTTATAATCGCTCGGGAATACCACCAAAAAAATAGTCAAAATGTTCTGAACAAAAAATGTATGGCGCACTTTTTGATTGGTCCAGCGGATGCTGAGCTATACTAAAAAACATTTTGGAAAAATTGTTGAAAAATTAAATTTTCCAGATAATCGTTTGGGAATACTGCCAAAGTCTTTAGCAAAAAGTAGCGAACAAAAAATTTATGGTGCACTTTTTGATTGGTCCAGCGGATGCTGAGCTACACTAGAAAACAAATTTGGAAAAAATTTAGGAAAATTAAATTTGCGAGATAATCGTTCCGTAATACCGCCAAAGTCTTTAGCAAAAAGTAGCGAACAAAAAATGTATGGCGCACTTTTTGATTGATCCAGCGGATGCTGAGCTACACTGAGATAAATTTTTTAAAAAATTTTGAAAAATTAAATTTGCGAGATAATTAATCGGGAATACCGCCAAAGTCATAACCCGGGAGTCTCGAACAAAAAATGTATGGCGCACTTTTTGATTGGTCCAGCGGATGCTGAGCTACACTCAGATAAATTTTTTAAAAAATTTTGAAAAATTAAATTTTCGAGATAATTAATCGGGAATACCGCCAAAGTCTTAACCCGGGAATTCTCGAACAAAAAATGTATGGCGCACTTTTTGATTGGTCCAGCGGATGAGAGCTACACTCAGATAAATTTTTTAAAAAATTTTGAAAAATTAAATTTTCCAGATAATCGTTTGGGAATACTGCCAAAGTCTTTAGCAAAAAGTAGCGAACAAAAAATTTATGGTGCACTTTTTGATTGGTCCAGCGGATGCTGAGCTACACTAGAAAACAAATTTGGAAAAAATTTAGAAAAATTAAATTTGCGAGATAATCGCTCGGGAATACCACCAAAAAAATAGTCAAAAATTTCTGAACAGAAAATGTATGGCGCACTTTTTGACTGGTCCAGCGGATGCTGAGCTACACTAGAAAACAAATTTGGAAAAAATTTAGGAAAATTAAATTTGCGAGATAATCGTTCCGGAATACCGCCAAAGTCATTAGCAAAAAGTAGCGAACAAAAAATGTATGGCGCACTTTTTGATTGGTCCAGCGGATGCTGAGCTACACTAGAAAACAAATTTGGAAAAAATTTAGAAAAATTAAATTGGCGAGATAATCGTTCCGTAATACCGCCAAAGTCTTTAGCAAAAAGTAGCGAACAAAAAATGTATGGCGCACTTTTTGATTGATCCAGCGGATGCTGAGCTACACTGAGATAAATTTTTTAAAAAATTTTGAAAAATTAAATTTGCGAGATAATTAATCGGGAATACCGCCAAAGTCATAACCCGGGAGTCTCGAACAAAAAATGTATGGCGCACTTTTTGATTGGTCCAGCGGATGCTGAGCTACACTCAGATAAATTTTTTAAAAAATTTTGAAAAATTAAATTTTCGAGATAATTAATCGGGAATACCGCCAAAGTCTTAACCCGGGAATTCTCGAACAAAAAATGTATGGCGCACTTTTTGATTGGTGCAGCGGATGAGAGCTACACTCAGATAAATTTTTTAAAAAATTTTGAAAAATTAAATTTTCCAGATAATCGTTTGGGAATACTGCCAAAGTCTTTAGCAAAAAGTAGCGAACAAAAAATTTATGGTGCACTTTTTGATTGGTCCAGCGGATGCTGAGCTACACTAGAAAACAAATTTGGAAAAAATTTAGAAAAATTAAATTTGCGAGATAATCGCTCGGGAATACCACCAAAAAAATAGTCAAAAATTTCTGAACAGAAAATGTATGGCGCACTTTTTGACTGGTCCAGCGGATGCTGAGCTACACTAGAAAACAAATTTGGAAAAAATTTAGGAAAATTAAATTTGCGAGATAATCGTTCCGGAATACCGCCAAAGTCATTAGCAAAAAGTAGCGAACAAAAAATGTATGGCCCACTTTTTGATTGGTCCAGCGGATGCTGAGCTACACTGAGATAAATTTTTTAAAAAATTTTGAAAAATTAAATTTGCGAGATAATCGCTCGGGAATACCACCAAAAAAATAGTCAAAAATTTCTGAACAGAAAATGTATGGCGCACTTTTTGATTGGTCCAGCGGATGCTGAGCTATACTAAAAAACATTTTGGAAAAATTGTTGAAAAATTAAATTTTCCAGATAATCGTTTGGGAATACTGCCAAAGTCTTTAGCAAAAAGTAGCGAACAAAAAATTTATGGTGCACTTTTTGATTGGTCCAGCGGATGCTGAGCTACACTAGAAAACAAATTTGGAAAAAATTTAGAAAAATTAAATTTGCGAGATAATCGCTCGGGAATACCACCAAAAAAATAGTCAAAAATTTCTGAACAGAAAATGTATGGCGCACTTTTTGACTGGTCCAGCGGATGCTGAGCTACACTAGAAAACAAATTTGGAAAAAATTTAGGAAAATTAAATTTGCGAGATAATCGTTCCGGAATACCGCCAAAGTCATTAGCAAAAAGTAGCGAACAAAAAATGTATGGCCCACTTTTTGATTGGTCCAGCGGATGCTGAGCTACACTGAGATAAATTTTTTAAAAAATTTTGAAAAATTAAATTTGCGAGATAATCGCTCGGGAATACCACCAAAAAAATAGTCAAAAATTTCTGAACAGAAAATGTATGGCGCACTTTTTGATTGGTCCAGCGGATGCTGAGCTATACTAAAAAACATTTTGGAAAAATTGTTGAAAAATTAAATTTTCCAGATAATCGTTTGGGAATACTGCCAAAGTCTTTAGCAAAAAGTAGCGAACAAAAAATTTATGGTGCACTTTTTGATTGGTCCAGCGGATGCTGAGCTACACTAGAAAACAAATTTGGAAAAAATTTAGAAAAATTAAATTTGCGAGATAATCGCTCGGGAATACCACCAAAAAAATAGTCAAAAATTTCTGAACAGAAAATGTATGGCGCACTTTTTGACTGGTCCAGCGGATGCTGAGCTACACTAGAAAACAAATTTGGAAAAAATTTAGGAAAATTAAATTTGCGAGATAATCGTTCCGGAATACCGCCAAAGTCATTAGCAAAAAGTAGCGAACAAAAAATGTATGGCGCACTTTTTGATTGGTCCAGCGGATGCTGAGCTACACTAGAAAACAAATTTGGAAAAAATTTAGAAAAATTAAATTGGCGAGATAATCGTTCCGTAATACCGCCAAAGTCTTTAGCAAAAAGTAGCGAACAAAAAATGTATGGCGCACTTTTTGATTGATCCAGCGGATGCTGAGCTACACTGAGATAAATTTTTTAAAAAATTTTGAAAAATTAAATTTGCGAGATAATTAATCGGGAATACCGCCAAAGTCATAACCCGGGAGTCTCGAACAAAAAATGTATGGCGCACTTTTTGATTGGTCCAGCGGATGCTGAGCTACACTCAGATAAATTTTTTAAAAAATTTTGAAAAATTAAATTTTCGAGATAATTAATCGGGAATACCGCCAAAGTCTTAACCCGGGAATTCTCGAACAAAAAATGTATGGCGCACTTTTTGATTGGTCCAGCGGATGAGAGCTACACTCAGATAAATTTTTTAAAAAATTTTGAAAAATTAAATTTGTGAGATAATTAATCGGGAATACCGCCAAAGTCTTAACCCGGGAGTCTCGAAGAAAAAATGTATGGCGCACTTTTTGATTGGTCCAGCGGATTCTGAGCCACACAAGAAAACAAATTTGGAAAAAATTTAGGAAAATTAAATTTGCGAGATAATCGTTCCGGAATACCGCTATAGTGTTTAGAAGAAAGTTCTGAACAAAAAATGTATGGCGCACTTTTTGATTGGTCCAGAGGATGCTGAGCTACACTAGAAAACAAATTTGGAAAAAATTTAGAAAAATTAAATTTGCGAGATAATCGTTTCGGAATACCGCCAAAGTCTTTAGCAAAAAGTAGCGAACAAAAAATGTATGGCGCACTTTTTGATTGGTCCAGCAAATGCTGAGCTACACTAGAAAACAAATTTGGAAAAAATTTAGAAAAATTAAATTGGCGAGATAATCGTTCCGGAATACCACCAAAAAAATAGGGAAAAAGTAGCGAACAAAAAATGTATGGCGCACTTTTTGACTGGTCCAGCGGATGCTGAGCTAAACTAGAAAACAAATTCGGAAAAAATTTAGAAAAATTAAATTTGCGAGATAATCTTTCCGGAATACCGCCAAAGTCTTTAGCAAAAAGTAGCGAACAAAAAATGTATGGCGCACTTTTTGATTGGTCCAGCGGATGCTGAGCTAAACTAGAAAACAAATTAGAAAAAAT